CGGTGAGTTCGATTCTCCTTGTTTAAATTTGTGAATGCTGCCATAATCCTTGCCTTCAGTTCATCTTTGGTGTTACAAGTAGTTTTGTTGGTCTCTCGCTCAACTACGCCCTACAAATAATATTCAACGGGCTGAAGACTGGACAGGTGGCCAGATGTAAGAAGGGATATGGTCGGAGAAATTGTCTGACAGCGATGACTGGGTTCTTCTGCTTGTGTGTTATGGTGCAAAGTCCTTTTGCCAGAAATAGGGTCTTCCATCGGCCACCTTCTTCATTAAGCACAGCACTACCTCCTCAAGATACTTGGTATAAGCCTCTGTTATTTCTGAGGCCCTTACCTTCAAATTCGGGAGTCTTTTCTCATCAGAACGATCAGAGTGAGTTTTCCTTGCTGCTGTTACCTTCCTAATGACCTCATGACCCTTTCCGAATCCTCTTCACCGTCCTCAGATTTGATACCCAAACACTCTGAAATGTTTGTATTGGAGCTTCCGGTGCGAATGCCAAGCATGCTGTTTCTAAATTTATGGCGGAGTGAATTGCATCATGATGCTCTTTTTCTCGCACACGATGCCCAACTCTACTGTGCAGTCGACAAAATCAAAAACAAACAACGCGCCTGCGCGAAATTAAATATATAAAATAATGACAATTTACCCATCGCACCCTGTATGTCAATGGCCGATGAAAAAAATAAAACTGAATCGATTGGAGAATATAATGTAGAAAATAATTATCGGTATTTTTGAATTTCAAAAAGGTTTCTCAGTACAGTTTTTTTTTTTTTTTTTTTTTGCTACATCGTACGCAGGTAACAGCTACTTAATAATATTCACATTAACTGTTTCCTTATAGAGAACAATCTTGCATTCAGCGACCGAACAGCCAGAGCTACTTTCGATTGAAATGTATAATATTTTTATATTAAAAGAAATAATTCAAGAAAATAGATATCTAAAGTTCACGGTTATCTCTCTTCCCAATATTGATGGGTATTTCTTTTCTAACCTTTTATTAGTTTGGAATGTCATCATCTTGATTTTGTCAGTATTGTCACTTCGAGTTGCATGAGCTATCCATTTTAGTTGTTGCTACTGTTGAATGTCCACAAGAGATGCGGTTTATTTTATTTGATACAGTCCTTTGTCACTCCACGCGGTACACTGAGACCTGCAGGTTTCATTCCCTCGAAACCATTCGTCATCATTAGTCTGAGAAAGCTTCCGTATTTTTTAATCATTTCAGACCAAGCAAGGCAATAAAGCCATTAAGACGCAAGGGGTTAATGAGTGTGGGCGAATATGAGGAAAAGAAAAGATAATTAAGGAGTGAGAACAATAAAAGAACAGGAATTTAGAAGTAAGAAGATAACAGTTGGTACTGCATCAAAATTTTTGAAGATCAAAGTCGATTGGAAAGCAAGAAGCTGGTTGTGAGTTCCACAATGATGAGACCTAGCTGACAATCTAGTACTGCACTTAAAATCATAAAGTTTAGGTACTATAGATGAAAATTCATCCGAACAATTACCATGAAAATATTTATAGAAAAGGCACAGGGAAGCTACGTTAAGGCAATGGGAAAGTGACTGAAGCAGAGATGCCAAGTCGAGACGAATAAAATTGCATATTCTGCTTTGTATTTTATTTTTTTATCTAGTATCTCTAAATTCATAACAGAAGCATCAAACCAAATGTTACATCAATATTCAATGCATGGAGGAATGGTACACTTAAAATGTGTACGATAGATCCAGGAAATATATGACAAAGATAACAATTACATTACAATATATTAAGCAATACAGGGACAAGACAGTGATGATAGTCTGTTTCTGTTTACATAGAAGATTTCCAAGCAACGACAAACTCGTGCATATAAAACGCTGGAAGCGAAAATCGCACCGCAGCTCATGACGTCACTCATGACCACGCGAGAGTGATTTCGAGAAGTATTAAGTATGGGAAGCTGTTGGCATAAACCAATGGCTTCTGTTATCAATTACAGGCATTTAAGAATATTTGTGGAGATTACATAGTTTATTTTGTTCAGGTTAGGTTTCAACTGTTTTATGTATATAGCTTCAAGAATCTTTAGTTTTTGTTTATTGTTTTCATGTTTAAGTATAATTGTGTTTTTAACAAGGATTTTTCCGGAATTGTGTATGTGACCAGGCATGTTGCTTTAATATATTGTAATGTAATTGTCATCTTTGATAATGGCTTATGTAAGCCGAAAGCTTAAATAGGATTAAAAAATATGTTTCATTAATGTGATTTTCTTTCTTCGTTTAATGATAATGTTACTAAGCTTATCAGACGATATGAAAAGAATTTACATAAAATAAATAGACAACACTTGTCTATATTATTTAATGAAACATGTATCAATGAAAAAAGCTGCCTAAATATATATACACACACACACGCACACATATATTAGAGAGAGAGAGAGAACTTTTTTTTAAATTTCTGCAAGTTAAGTTTCCCCGGTATATTTTAAGGATCAGTTCAGGAAATATGTATTAGGTTGGTGCAAAAATAATGACGTAATAATGTCGTTTTTTGACGTATTTTTTAAGGTCAAAAAACGACATTATTACGTCATTATTTTTGCACCAACCTAATATATACCTTTTTCAGAATTATTATTGTGCATCAATTAAAAATAAAATCTATGAACACAATCTTAGACACCATAATGTATTAATGCATTTTATATATATAAGGCAATTCACCCCAAGCCAGGCGGGAGTGCCACTAGCACGCAAGGGTTACAGAATATTGAGTAGAGAGATAGAGAGAGACTCGCATATATATATATATATATATATATATATAGATATAGATATAGCACATGTATTGCTGGTGTTAATAAAATAGTACTCGGTGTAATATTAGAGAGCAATTAAGTATGTATTAATAAATGTGTAATTTATAAGTCACCGATGGCACAACTGAAATTGAACGATCAATCTCTATTCAGCACCTGAAAATTGCGTTGTGCATGAAACTCAGTGTCGGCAAGGAAATAAATAAATATATATATATATATATATATATATATATATATATAATCTGACAGTTTAGATATTTCTGAACATGAAAATCTCGATCGGATGATTGAATATTGTTTACTATTTACCAATTCCACAGACTGAACTTTTATTATCAATTTAGGGTACGTGCCACTGTTGCTTGCATTCTAGTTCATATTTTATGTTTTAGAAGTATTGATATTGAGTCTATTTCTTTGAACACTTGTTAGAGGATGTTGATTTATTTTGTTCAGGATTATTCTGTTCCCAACTATGAATATATATTCAGTGGTCGCTTGTGAGTTGAGATAATGAGCGTTTAGGGTGACCAATCACATGCATCACGCCAGAAAATGTGCGTGGGGGGGGGGAGGATGCTGTGTCATTCATGAGGACTGATGCAGAACAATCACCGTTCTGCTCCGCTTTTTTCACTGAACCTTCTTAACCAATCATTAAGAAGTATTCGTTAAATGTAACGAAAGTCGTGATCCCGAAGAATTGAGATAACCGCATTTTTTTTTTTTTTTGAAAAACGTTACACCTAAGGTCTTCTTCTGCTCATTAGAGACCCCCACCTGGTTTTCGAGTCTGTGGCTAGTTTTGCTAATTAGTTCTTTCGAACACAGCATATGTGTGTGTGTTGCCTTTTTTATCCCCTGCTTTTCCGTTATTGTTATTATTATTGAAACTTTGTTGCGTAAGGTTTCTTATCTCTTCTTGCCTTACTGATCTCAGCGCATCTTCAACCCTTAAATGTTTTTTAGGTGGCAGCTGGATTTTATCTTTGTAATCGCTAGCACAGCTGTACGGGGATATTTCACACGGTATTTAATACACTCATTTTCTTCTGATGTTTATCTTGATAACGTTGGAAAAGCCAGTGTCTGCAGTATTAAGCACTATACCTATCACATCGAACGCAGTCGAGATCACAGAGATATTGGGAATTCCAAGATCTTTTTGATAGCTGCATTTACTGTGCATACCCCAGGGCTACATACGGTTTTGAATTCAAAAATGTCCTTCTCCTAGACTGGTTGCCAACCACGACTATAGAACCAAGCCTGTTCAAAGTATTGCGATAATGATAGTAAGACGTGTATACATGCGCCGTAAGAATTGTAATATTCAGAGAGAAATAAATTACATCTTTTGGTTTGTTGGTTGATTTCGTTTAGAGGCAGATCAATCTCTATAGGTTATTTAATGCCGAAATCTAAATATTTTGTAAGCAATTTTATCGTTTGAATTACAAATATTTCGTGTATAATCCTATACTTTCAGGGTAAACGTATACTTTTTTTAGGTATGTAGTTTGTAGATGATAAAATGTGTAATTTAAAAAAAAAATATATTGCTGATAATTTCACTATTAAAAACAACATATTTTTAGAGTTGTATTGATAGTCACTTTACCATAAAATGTATTGTTGGGAATTTTATTACAAAAATGTTCATACTGTTTTGTTTTTTTTTGGGGGGGGGCTATTTGCCTATAGCAGGTGCTACCGCCTTTGGTCACGTTAGACCTGGGAAATGGTTCCGCGTTCCTCAAAACCGCCAATCTCCTGATCAGAGGCCTTGCTGTTGGATGTAGTTCATCGTCATACCCGTGACGAGACAGCCTTTTAAAAAACGATTTCTAAATTGAAGCTGTTCCAGAAGGAAACCCAATATAACAGTTGTTCTTTTCTAAGCCATGTCCTGTATTCATTTCTGTCATATTTGTAACGCGTGAAAATAATGAGACATTTGACATTTTGTACTCGATTACCAAGTTCTCATGTTCTTTAAGCAAAATTCATTTTACTTCTTTTATGAAATTACATACATGGAAGAGGTAGGTGAACTGATACGTGTGCAAATGCTACAGTTGATATGTCTATCACATGTTTGACTTTAAAATAACGAAATAAAACCATAGAATTTGGAAGGTGGTTTAGCGGCAAAAGATAAGTTCTATGTTGAAATGTAAAGGAACAAAGAGATAAGAAGTGATGCTGGAAACGAGAAAGAGAAATGAGTAGAATTGATGACTGACGAATGAGACAGACGAGGAGGTTGAACAACCAAAATTGATGGCTGACGGTTGAGAGAGACGAGGATGTCGGACAAGCCAAATTGATGGCTGACGGTTGAGAGAGACGAGGATGTCGGACAAGCCAAATTGATGGCTGACGGTTGAGAGAGACGAGGATGTCGGACAAGCCAAATTGATGGCTGACGGTTGAGAGAGACGAGGATGTCGGACAAGCCAAATTGATGGCTGACGGTTGAGAGAGACGAGGATATCGGCCAAGCCAAATTGATGGCTGACGGGTGAGAGAGACGAGGATGTCGGCCAAGCCAAATTGATGGCTGACGGGTGAGAGAAACGAGGATGTCGGACAAGCAAAATTGATGGCTGACGGGTGAGACGATGACGTTGGACAAACAAAATGTGAACTATGCGTCGTATTGTTATTTTAGGGTAAAAAAAGCAACATGGATGTGCAGTTCGTGTAATTGTTAGCAGCTTCGAGCGAGAAATCGGCAAGCCGAGTTCGAATTCTGATCGAGTTCATTTAGTGACGATGGAAAGGTAGGAATCCGTCTTTTAATACGTATGTGTTCTCTCAACGAGCCTCCTTACCTTGAACGTCTTTAGGGACTCAATCTTACCGCAGACCCCATATAGAACTCGTAGATACAATCTATTGCTAAAGACGCTAGAAAAAATGGTCGGTTCACTGTACTGACTCAATCTTCTAAACTCTATATAAGAGCCAGATCAGACCAAAAACGGAGTACTGCTGCAATTTCTGGACTGGAGTTCCCCAGTCCTCAGCCGTGTGTCTTGATAGAGCTCAGAAGCGTCGACGCGGCTTTGTGGTTGATGAATTATTTTCCACTCTACAATCCTCTTCCCCCCCCCCCAGATGATATGTCACTAGCCTCTCGTTGTTTTATCGCTATTCCCATGACATGCGTTCTGACAAGCTATATTGCTTGCTTGGACCAGCCCCTTACCACGTACACATGAGTGAATCATCCTCATTCCCTTCGTATTTCATTAATAAGTAAGTTCCACTCAGACAGCTTCTTCTCAAGAACTGCTGCTTTGTGGAACAGATTCCCGGAAGGATGTTTTCTCGCTTACAACAATCTCTTCGGAAAGTTCGGAACCCATCATTTCAAAAGAGGTTGGAACCCATATTTTGTGGAAAGGCCAGAATACATATTTTATGGAAAGGTTAGACTCCATCTTTTTCTGCAAATGTCGGACTCGAACTATTTTATGGGTTAAATATTAGGGCAGACTGTGGTCTCTAACCTAGGTTGGGAAGAAGAGCAAATATTTAACCCTGGACATCCGTATACTATACTATCATGGAAAGTATTAGTGAGGTCACAATTAACTTCAGCGAAGAATTGTGGATACTATGAGGTCGACATCTTTTGAACTACTATTTTATTTTATTTACATCTGTAAGTATATCAACTGTTACTTTTACAAAAATGCACTAATCGTAAATAAATAAATTGTATTGATAGATCCGAGTGTTTGTATTGTGTGCTTGAAATCTTGGACTTCGCAGAAACTTTAGCATTGATACTAATAAAGCTAAGAGAGAAGATATCTACCGTGGATTTTACAAATATGCATTTTAAGAGTAAGATAAGCAGGGGTGGGGTTTTGCTACGTTTGTTTCTAATGTTTATATCAGGTCATCCCATAAGTTCTGTCCGAATTTTAAATAAAGAAAACAAGTGACCAAATGTTACATTTAATTAAAGTTTCAATCAACAATGTATTTTCCCTGATTATCTATGACTTCCTTCCATCTATTGACAAGCTTACTAATTCCATTACTGTAAAATTCTTTTGGCTTTGATTTGAAGAACTCATAAATATCAATTTAAACTCTTCCTGTGTTACAAAAGCTGTTTCTTCCAAATTATTCTGTAAGCTACGAAACAAATGGTAGTCTGAAGGAGCAAGATCGGGAGAATAAAGTGGATGAGGAATTTTCTCCCAACCAAGTTCTTCGATCTTTTGTGACGTGATTCTTGCTGTGTGGGGTCGCGCATTGTCCTGATGAAACATCACCCCTTTTCGATTCACTAGAGCAGGTCTTTTTTCCTCAAAGCTTGGTTCAAACGCTCTAATTGCTGACAGTATATTTGAGCATTAATTGTTGCATTAGGTGGTAAGAATTCAAAGGGGATTATTCCTTAGCGATCCCACCAGATTGAAAGAAGAACCTTTTGCCCATGAAGTTCACTTCTCGGCTGTGGCTGAGGTCCTTCCCCTTTACCAAGCCACTGTCTACGACACTTAACATTTCGATAAAAGATCCATTTTTCCATTTTCCAAATTTAGAAGATGACGATGAACAGTTGTATGGTTTGAACTGAGAACCACTGCCAATTCCTCAACTGATAAAGCAGGATTTCATCAAACTCAACTGGACGTCCGGTTCGATCTCCACCTCTGAATTTTGCAAACCATCTTCTGCAAGTTCTTTCATTCACACATTCCTCTCCATAAACTGAGTGAATGTTTCTAGCCGCTTCGGCTGCTGAGTTTCCTTTCTTGAACTCATAAAGCATTATGTGTCTTGGGTACTTCCATGTTAGCAGGGTTTTAATCAAACAAAATTTAATTTTATTGTTCTCAAGAAATAAAATTTGATCAGTTTAAATGCATCTAAACATAAAAATAATGTTCAGCTCTATTAGACATTATAAAATACTCTTTAAATTTCGTTCATTTTAACAATGTTAAAATTCGGACAGAACTTATGAGATGACCTGATATATTCATCAAAAAAGTCAATAGTGGTTCTCATTTTTTGTAATTTTTTTAATGGTCGACAGGTTATGCATGACAGTTTAAACAAATGTCAAACTTACTTGAAGTCAAACTTTAAAGTAATTCAATGATAATAATCAACCTAATTTCTTCCATAACATATGCCGGGTGTAATAGAACAGCAAAATTGTCCAAGTCGTATAATATAGGATAATTGTACATTCTACAAAATGTTTAATATCTGCACAAACACGAAACAAATTGAGTTTCTTTTATCTAGGTTTTCAGATAAGACGTTTCGGCATCTTGACAGCATTTATCGTAAGAATCACTGTAAAACCCTTTGAGTTATTCATCTAGAAAGAGAACAGGTTAAAATCATTTTGTGTCAGCCCCACTATGTCCTTCCAACTGAGCAAAGATGAGACAAAAATGATCATTCTGACCTTCAGTAATGGCACCAACATTTGTACTCTGGCTTCCAACTTCAAAGGCTATTCAAGAACGATCAAGAGAACGATGAATAAGGGGGAACAGTGAAGAGGAAAACTGGATCAGGAGGTCAAAACAGGTAGAGATATCATCATTTCAAGTTAGAGCTAAAGAGATTATTATTATTCAAAGTAGAGTCCAATAGTGTTATACAAAACCCGCAGAATTCCAGTAAGATATCTTTAATCATTTCTAAAATACAACGGTTCAAATCTTAATCTAACAATTGCACAATTTCGCTGTTACATTTACTCAGTATGTGTCACTTGACTGACAAATTTCAAACCTAAACTGTGTGTCCATTTCAAAATAATACATTTCTTAGAAAATAGATTGAGTCCAAATTCAGGATGGAATCATATATTTTTTACCTGTTACCTAGTGAGTTTTGCCCTACAGTGAATTTTCGCCCCACGATGTAGATATTTTCATTTAAATGATGTGTTTTAATATTTCTGAGATGAGGCATTGTAACTATTAGACTATTGATATCGTTCGGACTGTTGTCCACGTCTTTATTGCCATATTCACGTCGTTTCGGCCATTGTACACTCCGGCCTTCTTCAGGTGATATAAGATGGAATTTCGAACCGAACACTTTATTTAGTCCACGGGGCTTATATCCACTAGTTCAATTTTCTTTTGAGATTTGAAGTAATAAAAACATGATACAAGTTATTGTGCTTTCACAATTGAATACACGGTAGACGATACTTGGCATTTGTGCATATACATGTTAGGATGAACATGATGACTAGAGGCGGTGATATATGTGTTTTCTGTTGTAGTTTTGTTGAAGTTATATTTTGGAATATAGTTTGATTTCTTCAGGAAATTGTAGATTATTATATGGATTATTGTCAAGAAAGAGTTATTTCAGGTTTATTGATGTATTGTTCATAATTTTACTCTAAATAATTATTATTGGTATTTTTTATATAAAAATGTATTGCTGGCATTTTAGCATAAAAATGAATTTTTATGCTTTCGTAGGTTTTTGTTTGGTGGGGGGGTCACGATATGCTCATAGCCGGGACCCTAACAGATGATACCACCCTGGGTCAGTGTAGACTTGCGAACAACAGCAATTAGCAGGTGGTTCCATGCTCTTCAAAACCTTCAATGTCTCGATCACAGGCCTTGCTGCCGGATGTAGTTCATCGTCATACCCAGATCTACTTGTAATCCCACCAACACACCTAATATTATTGTAATATTTGCATGTTTTTTTGTTGTTTTCTTTGTGTTTTTTTTTAAATATATATTGTTTATTTAAGCGTGCATCATACATATCGACGAAGCCGTTAAGATACAGTCAATGATATCCGAAACATGCTTAAATACATGAAGGATATTATGTTTGTTTTTTGTTTTTTTTTTTTTTTTTTGTTTTTTTATGCCGAGTTAACTTCATGCAGGACCCCATCTCATTTGAAGTATTAGCCTGAGGCTATTTTTGGATCTGCATACTCGACATACAGCTTGTTTGTCCGATGTCATGACAAATTTGTAAGTTGATCCAACATTATGGCCAATTTTAACAATAGAAACTCCTCTCAAATGACTGGACTCTCTTCTGAGATCACTTTTAGCATTGTCATGAGGTTTGGCAAGCCTTACTCTTCCATGCTGACTCTGGTCATCTTGGAAGAATTGGAAAGACCTTATACCCTTAATAATGATTTTTCGTTTTTTTTTTGTTTTTTTTTTTTAGTTTTTGTTTTTTAGATACAAGTCCTACTATTTAACCCATAGCTGGTGGATATTTAATTAAGTTAAGAAAGATTTAAAGCTTTCGCTAAGGTTATTTGTGCGTAAATGAATATAACGAACTCTACTGGAATTCGAAAAAAAAATTAGTGAGTATGGGATGACCTCAATTTAATTGCTCGAAAAATGCATCACGGTTTCTTTAGACCTTTTGCATCCCCGTAAGGAATCTCCATATTGTGGCTGCTCCTTCCCCAGTTCTGTATGCCGTCTTCTATTTGCTTCAGCTTGGTAATTTGTCAGATCTTGAAAGATAAACACCAGTCAGCCAAACAGAATGTTGTAACTAATAAATCACAATCAGCGAAACTTTCAAAATCTCTAGCACGCTAAGCCGGTCTAACGGATATCTATGTGACAGCCAACACTCTCCTGAGTCGTCGTCTTCTATAAATTCAGCGCCAGCGTCGAATTTTTTTCGAGCTCAGTAGGTTAGTGGTGAGTTGTCCTGGAGTTGAGTTGGCCGGTGTTGAATCAGCGGTGCTGAAATCTCACATCCCGTTTATTCAAGCTCTTTATGCGTTGTTTTCCTCTGTCCCTCTTTTCTCATTATGTGTAGTAGAAATTTCAGTTCTCTCCTCCTGATGTTTACTTTTTGTTTGCATTTTCTCTAAAACTTTGTCGCTGCTTACATATTCGGTACATGGCATTCTCAGCATCCTTCTGTAGAACCACACTTCTGTTGTCTCTTTTTCATCTGTGAGTAGATTTTCCAGCATTGGCTGCCATATAGGAGGACTGATATCGCGTAACGGTTCAGTTCTTTTTTCCTATTTCTTAATACACTGCTTAGCTCTAGGATGCATCTTTGGCTATCCCAATGTCACTTTTGATTTCAGTTTCGCACTTTCCGTCCTCTGTTAAAACACTTCCCGTCCTCTGTTAAAACACTTCCCAGATATTTTAAAGTCAGCGAGTTCAGTTGTGCGCATCGTTATTGATCCAGTTCTATTTCCATATTTTTTTTTATTATTCGATCTGATAAAATAATCTAGCAGAAAAATCCAAAATAAGTGCCTGTCCTCCGCCCCCAGCCATAGACACATCCTAGCGTCTGCTTATTTTTAATGCTCCTCTTAAAAGCTATTTCTGGCAAAGCCAAGTTTTGTGTTAAGGTGCGTCTGTAAGAGTCTATCAATAATTAGCTTCCCTCCACCTCTACCTCAGAGACTCATTTATTTGTACCATTGTTATCTTTGGGGTTTTGTTTTGTTTTTTTTTGTGAGATTTCAAGAATATATATGCGATCTTTTTCTCTCTAGGGTTTTACTATTTGAAGCATTTCTCTTGACGATATTTTCCTGAAAATGAGGAGTTGAATTGACGAGACCAGACTATTCAGAATAATTAAGTCGGCTCCATAGAGGGGATAGTGAAAGAATTAAGAAATATTGGACATCATGTAAAGGACGTTGATCTGACAATCTCGGGGTCTTTTTAGTTAACCCACCCAAAAACAATATAAAGTTGCTTATCGCAAATATTAATTCACCCCAAGAAATTATAACTTTTAAATCAAGCTTTGTTTGTTTTCTTTATAAAATTTTTGCCATTCATGAAATTATAAATTTTAAATCAAAATTTTAGTTTGCCCCGCAGCAACTTCAACCGTCAGAATTTAAAAAAAAAATATCAAAAATCAGGGAATTATTCACACTTCATAAATTCGGATGATATCGAGGTATTTAGAAGGAATTTTTACAATTTAAAAAAAAATAAAATGGCTTGTTTATCGGGGTGAGCGCGAATGGCGACCCACACTCATAGAAATAGCGCACCCAAGTCGCCCACATTTGAGGCCATCAGAAAGGGCAACCCAATCGGAGTGCAAAAGAAGGGCCTCACCCTGGGAGAATTTGGTGTGAATTTTAGTAAATACAAATTATTTTATGGATCAAAAAGTGTTCCTTTTAAATATAACTAGAAGTTTATCACATTTTACTGTTAACAGAGAAAGACTGGTGAACACAGAAGGGGTAATGGGATAATTAGAGTACATGGAAACCAGTGCCATTAATAAAAAAACTGCTCCATTTAAATATATTTTCGCCGTGAGTAATACTGGCTTCTCATCTTTACAATTGAAATCATAAAATGTAAAAACATCAAAAGAAAGCAAAACAAAAAATATAGCAACTTAACTCACCTATTTACAAATGAGATATTCTGTTATATTGTTAACACTCGAGATTTTACGTCGAGTAATTCTATTATTGTTAGAGCACTCGGACATCTTGCGTTAAATAGGGTAGATAATGATGCGTGACCGATAGTCACAGTGTGTTTTGTATGTCAGATTTTATTAAAACGTTGATTATCAGAGGTCAATTAGAAAAATGATGTATAGCTTCAAGTGAAATCATAACATTGTTTTCATATTAAAAGTATCAAAATGACAAAGATCCTTATTCAGCCGGCCGTCATCGGTAAGACGATAAATTACGTCCAACAGGAAGGCCTCTGATCAGGTTTTGAGGAGCGTGGAACCACCTCTTAATTGATGGTGTTCCAGGTTCACCCTGACCCGGGATGGTAGCACTTGTTAGGTTCCCAGCTATGGGCAAATAGTTAACCACCACAAACTGGGGTCAAAACACTGTGAAAGTGTAAAAATACGGCTTACTACCACAATTACTTTGTAAACAAAAAATGTTACCAGCAATAATTTTTTGAGGAAAAATTATTCCCAGCAATAGTTTTTTGGAAAAAAAATTACCAGAAATAAACATTTTGAAGGAAAAATATTACTAGCAAGGCATGTTTGAAAAAAAATCTTACCAACAATAAAAACTTTGTCGGCATTAAATAACCCATTGTGGTTGACATGCCGTAAAGCAAAGCAAACCAAACCAATCATCAGTCGGCACCTGGAAAAGCAATACCGAATTTCTGCATCAACATCGAGCAGCAAGTAGAGGTCATCGAAGAATTTCCCTACTTTGGCGGCATCATCTCGAATAATGTCAGCTGCGAGAGAAATATTGACAGCAGGATCAAATCGGCTCATACGGCGTCCGAAACGCTCCCACATCGGGTCTTCAGTCATCAAGGCCTCACCATAAAAAAAAAATCATGGTCGTCCGGGCTATGGTCCTTTACACCCTTCTGTACGCTTGTAAGACCTGGACTTTGTATTGATGGGACATCAAACCTCTGGAGTGGTTCCAGCAAACGAAGCTTCGAAGAATCATTTGGGAAGACCTACAACGAGGTCCTCTCTCGGACATCTCTCCCCAGCATCGAGGCTACCATCCTCCAACGTCGCCTCTGCTGGAAGGGTCACGCGTCAAGAATGCGTCCTACTCGACTCCCAGGTATCATCTTGCAAGAGGCTACGTGGAGGCCGAGAACGACGCTTTAAGGATCAATTGAAAACATCCCTGATACAGGCCAACATCGACCCTGAAACATGGGAAACCGTTGTTGTAAATCGGTCCTCCTAGCATAGAACAACCCGGGGAGGGGTGGCCGAAACTTTCGAGTCCAACCGTCAACATGAAGAGGATCTACGACCCGCTGCCAGGAGCGCGTTTTTGTCCCTTTTGCCTCCAGTATGTCCTGTGGGTATCAAATTCACCAAGCCCTCTCTCCTTATTGTGTGTCTTAGAAATTTCGACTGTCTCCTGATTCTAGGTTCCACAGTCTTTTGTTTCTGTTGTCATTAAAACTTCCTCGTTATTCACATGTTCAGTCAATGGAATTCTCAGCGTTTTTCTGTAGAACCATATTTCTGTTGCCTCAAGTCTCTTCTACATCTGTGAAGAGATTGTCCAACATTCTTTGCAGTATAGAAGGACTGATATTATATGGCAGTTCATTACTCTTTCCTTTGTTTCTAACTAATTTGTTCAGTTTTTTTAATACTTTGCTTAGCTTTTAGAAGGCATCTTCCACTGTTTAAATATTAAAACAGACGACATAAAATGTGACACCGAAATCCGAAAACGCTTTCTCAGATATTTAATGTTTCATATATGTTCGATTTTGATCTCGCCAATTCTTAATTCATATGTTGGGCTGTTCCTCGTGCAAACAACCATATGCTCTCTTCTGTGAATTGATAGCATTTTGATATTGCAATCATTGAGTTTGAAAACAGAATCTGCTATACTGAAGGATAGTAAAATAGTTTACTTGATAACTTTATTTATGGTTCAGCCCTAAAATCGTTTGTGACTTTTTTAATTTAAAAAAAAATCTAGTGTCAGTTAAAAGAGAAATTGAAACCGTACCACCACCTTCAAATTCATAAATTCTCCCGTTTCTCCTATTGCTATAGACGACCGCGTAAGTTAAAAGTGAAACCTGCACGATTGTTTGCATAGTTTTACATTAAATATTAACTCTATTTAAATATTACTTTTTGAAAGTTAACGTATTAAGTGCAGTGTAAATTTATTTTATTCGGTGTTGAAGCATAGAATTAAAATGACGTAAATTTTCGTCATCCGCAGTTGATGGTGTAGTTTATGTGCATTCAACCAATTATAAAAGTCGTGGCTGAAAATAAATGATTGGTAGCTTAAAGCTACGAACGTCGTCAAGCCACTTGAGATAGTCTGCTGGGTAGTCGTGCATGAAAGTCTGGGGGTGGCCACGAGACGATGAGTTCAACAGAATCGAATTTTCTTCCGAGGCAAAAGTGAGTCAGTAGCCACGTATAACGTCGAAACGAAATTCGGATTCAGATGATAATCGGCGTTGTTAATTCGTGTTTGTCTCTGAGCTTAATTGTTCGCCTGGATGTGTTCAGCAACTCCGCAAGATAAACAACTCGCTCCTCATTGTGTATGGTGGTGACTTTACATCCAATCAATGGCACCCCTTCAAACGACTTAAATAGTCGGTATTTCAAGGACGATCACTCAACAGGCTTTACGCAAATTCTTAAGTTTGAAGCGTAAGTTATATTAAATTATTATCCTGTTATAATTATGCTTGTCCCGCTTTTCGTTAGTTCGCACGACCGTTACACCCTGTCGGTACCTCTTAAATAATGAAATATTCAGTTTTGATCGCGTGGAAAGAGGGGAAAAGATATTTATTGGTTTCACTGAGAAAGAAATAAGAGAGTATAGCCGTGAGGAGAGAGAGAACCAGCCTAAGCTTTGATTTTAGACTTTGATACTACACTTTGATCTTCGCCAAAAGGCCGAGAAGTTATGGGAGCCACTATAAAAGCGTCATTTTTTCAGATGTATAATATCGAACGATGGATTTCAAAGTTGCCATAAATGAAAAAAAAATAACATCGTCTGCTAAATTCTTTTTAAATTATTATTAAACAAAATGTTTGTAAGACGGGAATTTGGTTAGCTGAAATAAATTATTTGTAACCGAACCGAAATCTGGAACTTAAATCAAAATCGGCGCTGTCATAATCTAGTGTATACTATATCTTGGAAGATTGTTGCGTTTATTTATTTACTTATTTGTTCTTCGATTATCTACGATACTTGTTAACAGCTGTGTTCATATCTTGGTGACAACTTTGTGTAGTTAAATCTGAACGTAACTGTCTTATTTTTTTTTCAATAGCGTTTTATATAACTGTTCTCATGTAAAAAAAAAAAAAAATGTGTATTTCCCAATTTCATCTGCTGCCTTCATATATTTTAACAAAACATGGTTGAAAAAAATCGTAGACCCAAAATAGCAAATGATACTTAACATTATTCAACAATATTCTTTTCAACGATCTGAAAATGAAAAATGAATCCATGACACTATAGCAGCTGCCACAAACTCAGATATTATTATTAAAAGTTGTAGCAGGCGCGACGCTATGTTTGGCCAGACGTGCGTGCATTAAGAAACCCTATCGCCAGTAGTGACCTTTTTTCACCATTTTGAGCATGCGTACAAAGAAAAAACTTCTAGTACGCGTAGCGTGAATTTAAAGAGACTACCCATCTTTTTATCCAGCCGCGCGAACGACACAGAATGCGAATCTCCGCGCTCCCAGGACACCCACTCTTTCACTCAATAATAGAGTAATCTCAACCATATTCATTCCTTCTTTAGAGACTATTAAAAGATTGCTTAAATTCTCAAACTCTTTCAGAAATTAAACTTGAACACTCTATATAAACCAATTTTGCCATAGAATAAAAATCTGTATAATATTTTTTTTTTAATCTGTTTCTTAGCAAGTCTCATCATGGGCATGACGATAAACTACATCCAGCAGCAAGATCGAGAGACTGACGGTTTTGAAGAGCGTTGAACCACCTCTTAATTTCTGTTTTCCCAGGTCCATCCTGACCCGGTGTGGTAGCACCTGTTAGGGTCATAGTTATGGGGAAATAGTGAAAACCCCCAAAAATAAATAAATAGTACATTTTCATGATGAAATGCTCAAAAATACATTTTTCATAGCAAAAAGACAACCAGGCCATCGCTAAAAAGTATGAAAATTCATTTTTATTGTAAAGTTACCAACAATACATTTTCCGATTTAGAAAATATATATCTAAAAAACATAATTTTACCCTGAAATTATAGTATGTACAAAATATCTGTAGCTGAAAGCATAAAATTACGAACAAAATATTTAAATTCTGGCATTAAATAACCCATAGAGAAGTTGATACGCCACCAAAAAAAAAAAACTACCAGCATGAAAAAACAGTTTAACAGCATTAATCCATATAATATCCAACAATTTCCAACTGTATTCCAAAATATAATATCAACAAAACTATAACATAAAACACACATATCACCGACTTTAGTAATCATATCCGAACAAACATTTATATGCACAAAATCTGAGTATCATCTACCAAGTATTCAATTGTGAAAGCAGAACAATGTATATCATATTTTTATTACTTCAAAGCTTACAAGAAAATAAAATTTCGGTTTCGGCATAAAATGACCCATGAAGAGTTGATGTGTCGTTAATCAAACAAACGAATCAATCTAACCAAGTCAGCACGAGTAAGTTTTTTCGTTAGCACACAAAACCTTCGCCAACATCAAAGGCTACTAAAAACAACAATGTCAGCCAAGTTTAGATCTAAATTTAACGATTTAAATGCTTCTGAAAAATTACTGGCTCCAATCACTAGATTCATAGACTGTGTCATTTTTATTCAATTTTTATTTGTTTATATTTTAAAAATCTGAAATTTTGAGGTCACCAGCCGAAACAATTCCCTTGTGACAATCCAGCATATTTTACTAAAATTACTAACAAAAAAGACGAGATAATACGTCCTCTCGATTATTGAGAGTCGCCCTAAATGTCAGTTAGATGCAATATATATCCAGTGAAGAACTATATCCTCACCATCAATCCCATGACCGACTGTAGCTGAACAGCGACCAGAATGTTCTGTGAGTGAATGAGGAAAGAAGGCTTGCAAAATCTGATACGCACGGAACAGGAAGAGAAACAGGAAATCAACGGATAACCTAATTATTGAGCTTCAGTAAATGGATGGTGGAACAAGGTTTAGTGGAGATAACGAAACATTATTAAGAGCTAGAAAAGACAGGAAGTTGTGAAGAGCCATAATCGCCTACGTTTTGAAAGGACACTGCACATGGAAGAATATTATTTGCAGTGATTTGTTACCACTTTGCATGGTAATGGATAGCGCTTCGGATTGAGAAATCGGAGAGCCGAGTTCGAATTCTAGTCGGATTCATTAAATTCACTTACGTGCTAATAACCTTGGGAAGGTATGAATCCTCTTCTACTCTCCACCTCCAGCTATGGGTAAATAGCAGGACAGACTGGGTTGGGTGGCAACTGGTCTAGGAGAAAGAAAACTTGGGCTCCGTCAGTCTATCTTGCTCATGAAACTAGTTCCTCTCCAGCTTCAGTACATGTGACCCCCCCCCTACGACCCTATGAGTCACGGGATTCGTGATTACGGTCGTTACCACGTGGCAGGCAGCTGCTCCATAACTTCCGTGAAAAATTTCGCAGATTTTGATGTGAAATTTATTTCGACGAACTCTTGAATTGGATTTCCGTTCATAAAAGTTTTTTCGCACTTGAGCATTTTCCAGCGATCCTAA